CACGCCCGGCTAATTTTTTGATTTTATTGTAGAGATGAGGTCTCGCCTGCCCAGGTGGGTCTCGAACCCGCGGGCTCAGGCAATCCACTCACCTCAGCCTCCCAAAGGCGTGGGATTACAGGCTGAGCCACCGAGCCCGGCTTCAGATGCTTTTAATGTTCCTGTTGGGGAGAAAATGTATGAGAAGAAAGAGGAAAAGGAAGGAGAAAAAAAATTAACATTCATTTTAACCAATTACTGGCACTTCATATGTCATTTATTCTGATACTCACAACAGCCTTGTGTGACCAATTACTGACCTTCAGTGTTGAAGGGGCAGACAGATGTCATATCTTTCCTCATCCATTATAAGGGTTACAGTCGACAGTCCTATAAAAGACAGGTTAACAAGAGAAAAGCATAACAAATGTATTTAATCAACGTTTTAGGCTGGGTGCAGTGGCTCATGCCTATAATCCTAGCACTTTGGGAGGCCCAGGAGAGAGAATTACTTGAGCCCAGGAGTTTGAGACCTGCCTGGGCAACATAGTGAGACCTTATCTCTACAAATAATTTAAAAATTAGCCAGAACATGTCTGTAGTCCCAGCTATACAGGAGGTTGACACAAGAGAATTGCTTTAGCCTATGAGTTTGAGGCTGTGGTGATCTGTGATTGTGCCAATGCACTCTAGCCTGGACAATAGAGTGAGGCTCCAACTCAAAAAAAAAAAAAGTTTTACATGACACAGGAGGCTTCAGAAATGAATATCCTAAGACCTAGGGGAAAATGGTTCATTTGAATGCTTAGATTCAATGAAGACTGGACAGCTGTGTGGAAATGTGATTGGACAAAAGTGGTATGCTATCATGGTAATAGTCTAAGCAGGGAAGCTCAGTAAGCCTGCCTGTTCAGACTCTTCTTGGCCTCTGTGCAACATTCCTTTCTCCTTTCTCCTGGGTATAGAGCAAGACTCCTCTGCAATAAGAGTCAAATGACCTACTATCAGACAAGGCAGATCAGAGAACTTCTACACAGAAAGATGGGGGAAGATTAGAGCAATCTTTCTAGGTTTATGACTTACTTTGGGAGAGAAGGTTCTGGTTTCTATGACCAGCCTTGGGGAAGGAAGAATTCTGCTTTCTATGTCTCATTTCAGGGCAGTAAGAGGGTAGGAAACAAGACAAGACTGAGGCTGCTTCTACAGCCTTCCAAAGTTCTTTAGTTCGAAGCACTCAGCATGCCAAAGTGCCATACTTTGGAGTACCATTTTCTGATCCCCAACAGTATCATAATCCCCATTTTATAGATGAAAAGGTTTAATGACTTGCATAAAGCCACACTGTTAGACTATAATGCAACCACAATTTGAACCCAGTTCTCTCTGATTCCAAAGATTATGCCTATTTCCAAATATTATAGAATTCCAGCAGATAAAAAAAAATTTTTTTTTCAGTTGGAGTCTCACTCTGTCATTCAGACTGGA